GGGACCGTCCATAAATGACGTCACGCACCTGGGGGGGTCAGACATTTGTGACGAGGGGGGGGGGGGGTGAGAAATGTGACGTCACATCGAAATGCGCAAATTTAAATATCTATAGACAACACGTTCTACTTAATTAAATATACTTTTTTTAAATAAATGTTTTCTCCTACAACATCAGAGTGCGGCGCCACATTAAATACGCACTGCAATGACAATAGTTTAAAGCGATTTGAAGCATGTTTTATTTTGGGAGGGGGGGGGCAGAACTTTGTGACGTCATATTTGAGGGGGGGGGTCAAAAATCGTCAAAAATCGCGTGACGTCATTTATGGACGGCCCCTAAGACAGATTTGTTTTGGGTTAGATCGCGTAAATATAAATGTGTCGTTAAACCCGCCACCACCCGACACAGCCAATTAGTAAGGGGTTTGTCACGTAGCACACCGGTGTGTTGCAGAGCAAAGCCACAACATTTACAATCGGAGTACGACGTTTCGCCAGTAATTACAACTGGCATCATCAGCCGAGCTATCATTTTGCGATAGCCAGGTGGCTTCTTAAAAAAAAAGAGCTGGATAGCTCAGTGAGCCTTACCTGGTAAAATAATAAGTAATATTTAAAAAAAAAAACTTTTTTTTAAAAACACGCTTTAATGAAATGTACCGTACTAGTGATGGCAGAACTCCAGGAAGTGGGCCCGAAGCTTGCCACAACGTAAGGGGACCCGTGGTGATTTACAGCCAACGTGAGTTGAGCGTGGACTATTAGACCCAAGCCGAAACATAAGATATAAAAAGGATTGCTTAAATTGTTTTTAATGATAGAATATAGTATTGTCATCAGTATGACATACGTATACCAAGTTTGCAGTCGATACGACATTGGGAAGTGGGTTAAAAATTGAGTTACAAGATTAGAGGATACAACAGAGTGAGTTAAATAAAAGCGTGTAAATAATAATAATTGTTTTAAAGATTAATAAAATAATAATAAATCGATAATCAAAATAAATAAATAAAGCGTGCACAATGCACTCGTTTCGCGATATGCGTCGTGACATCAAATCGCGGCGATTCCATTGAATGTCCTCCCTGAGGATTGTTACATTGTCTCGCGATGGGAGGCATGGTCACGATTAATGGTCTCGATAATACATCGATTATTAAACCTCTTTGCAATTGATAATTGATTTTTTACCCTTTTATCTGGCAACTAAACTGACACCTTTTTTTTTACAAGGAGTCATGTTTACATTGACCACAATACCTGCGGTCGGAACGCAAACAAAAATCAACAACTCTGATAATGTATGTGGCACTGTCCTTGAAATTGATTGGTCCATACCCGAGACAGCTTTCTTTAGAGCCTCGTCTCACATGGTGTTGGACCAGAAGACGCCAAAAGGCGCACAACTCAAAGACAATGCACCATCAGAGTATGAGAGCTCGGGGTGAAGCATTGACACAACATTGGAAACCTCATTTGCCGGTAACAAAATGATAATTGGTTTTTTACCCTTTTATCTGGCAACAAAACTGACACCTTTTTTTGCCAGATAAAAGGGTAAAAAACCAATTATCACTCCTTGCAATTGCTTCTTTACTCGAACATTTTCGCTGTATTCTTGATTTTTACAATGTATAAAGCACAAAACACTTCTCATTTCAACCACGACGTCAATTATTAACTCGTGTATTTGTACAGCTTTGGATCGAACGAAGATCGATATCTGAACACTCCCTTGTCAATAAGCACCCGGCAGTTCAGGGGCGTTAGTTTAAGCAATGAAGCTCAACTTTGCTGATGAGACACCGAATGTCAAAGCCGGTTCAAAGTTTTGCTTCTTAGATATCGGTTCCGGTTCGACGCAAAACGAAAGAGTGCACTACGCAAATTAACACGTAACAATAATTCCACGTTACTCCTAACAATGTTTCCATCGGGCTTGATGGTAAAGAAACAGGACGTGGAATAATGAGGGGAAGTTTAACTCGCGATGGGAGGCATGGACCTCTTATTTTGAAGAAGAATAAGAAAGATAACCTTTTAAAAAAACGAATGTATATTGTGTGTGTTTTATCGCAATAATTTCGTCTTGACATTTCCCGCAGTGTGTTTCTATTGGGCGTCGCAGCGAGTTGTCATCGGTTGATCGTAGCTGGTTACCGTAGCCTCCATCTTACGTGGGGAATGAAGACCGCAGCTGACGCCTCTCCCTATGCATTTGGAAATGAATGAATGAATGGTGTTGTATTCAAATACACACAACCCCCCCAACCTGTCAAAAACACTGTGACCTTAATAATAACAAATTGTGCTCAAATACACACAATCACTCTCCCCCCCCCCCCGTCAAAACATTTTGTGGCCTTAATAATAACAAATTGTGCTCAAATACACCCAACCCCCCCAACCTGTCAAAAACACTGTGACCTTAATAAAAAAACAAATTGTGCTCAAATACACACACTCACCGCCCCCCCCCCCCCCCCCCCCCGTCAAAACATTTTGTGGCCTTAATAATAACAAATTGTGTTCAAATACACCCAACCCCCCCAACCTGTCAAAAACACTGTGACCTTAATACAAAAACAAATTGTGCTCAAATACACACAATCACCCCCCCCCCCCCCCCCCCCCGTCAAAACATTTTGTGGCCTTAATAATAACAAATTGTGCTAAAATACACACAATCACCGCCCCCCCCCCCGTCAAAACATTTTGTGGCCTTAATAATAACAAATTGTGTTCAAATACACCCAACCCCCCAACCTGTCAAAAACACGGTGACCTTAATAATAACAAATCGTGTTCAAATACACACAATCACCCCACCCAACACGTTTGTCAATTACACTTCGTGGCCTTAATAATCACAAATTGTGTTCCAATAGGAGGATAAAACTCCCCACATACAATTCACACCCCCCCAACATGTTTATCAATAATACTTTGTGGAATTTAAAAGGAAACCTAAATATGACATTTCAGGAAATGATGGATCATCTTCATAGTACACACATAGGGGGCCAGAGAGGTTCCCAGTAACCAGTTCAGAGTTTGTGAGAAATTGGATCCTCGTTCGGTGCAACACGATGGAATGCACAACACACAATGATAATCTTAATTTAAACTTGAGGAATCCGATGAGCTATGAAGCTCTTTTTTTACAGATGTCCAGTGTATCATATATGTGGAGATAATCACTCTGTGTTCCCTTCGTTCCCATTAATAAAGGGACATCGATGGAATAATGAGATAACTAGGGGAGAATGTTAACTCACGTATGTTTATTGGACATGGTGTACCGTTGCTCAGATAAAACAACCGTACAAAGTAAAATTTCCTGCGTGTTTACTTGGGTATGCATTATCATCAACAGCAATGTTGTGGATTCACTCTTCAACACACCGGTGGGCTAAAGTAGTGAATTATTTGTCTTTTGTCAACGTGACACTTTTTTGCTGATTGGCCGTGTCGGGTGGTGGAGGGTTACGACACATTTATAAATAAAGCGATCTAACCCAAAAAAACCTTTATTATGAGCAATATATCTTACTCTTTTTACAATTCTCCTGCACTCGGAGCCCGACAAGTAATCTATCTGATTTTGTATGTTAAAAAAAAAATACCAAGATAATATGCACAGCGATGTTTTTTGTATATTGTCTTAAGATGTAAAGAATATTCCGTGCGAAATAATTACATTAATAAAAAGTTGGAGCGATTTTAAAGAAATCGTGGTCAGTCTTCTGCGTTCGTTACTCGCCAATTATTCGAGGTCACTCTGTATAGTTTTTTTATTTGAACGTCTTCCGAACGTCTCCCACCGTTTCAACTCAACGTTTATTTGTTACACGGGAGAGAGAAAAAAATCAACGTGTAGCCAGTTACCCAGCTAGTTTCTTTGATAACAGCCAGCCAGGGAAACTCGAGGCCATAGATAACACATTTTCAGAGGGGGGAGGTCACTTTCACCGATAAGACATCATCATTGTGAGGTCCACCACAAATTTGATAGCATTGGATTTGAACAGCATGATGTGGGTGTTTTCACAATTGTCTGTATATATATCTTATTTTAGCAGGTAAGCCCACTGATGGAGCTATATAGCTCTTTTTTTAGAAGCGACCTGGCCACAATTAACAGACAAAGTTGCGTATCGTGTGGAAATGTAATAGCAGTCTAAAACTTTAATCGCAAGTTTCATCTAAATATGGTGGGAATAACCGGAGAGGGAGAGACACCGCAAACTCCAAATATACAGCAGCAGGCGTCAGGGTCGGGATCTAACCCACGAACCACCTGTATACCAAGCGAGGTAGTTAACATCTCATAGCCACCGTGATGATGAGAGAGACACGTGGACTACAAATATACAGCAGCAGGCGTCAGGGTCGGGATCTAACCCACGAACCTCCTGCATACCAGGCGAGGTAGTTAACATCTCATATCCACAGTGATGATGATGAGAGAGAGACACGCAAACTCCAAATATACAGCAGGCGTCAGGGTCGGGATTGAACCCACGAACCTCCTGTACACCAGGCGAGGTAGTTAACATCTCATAGCCACCGTGATGATGAGAGAGACACGTAAACTCCAAATATACAGCAGCAGGCGTCAGGGTCGGGATCTAACCCACGAACCTCCTGTACACCAGGCGAGGTAGTTAACATCTCATAGCCACCGTTGTCTCCCCATTGTATTGTCGGGGTGGGGGGGCCCCGCACTAAAGTGCCACCAAGTGGCCCACGGGCCTTGCAGTGAGGTTAAAAACACTCGCAAGACAACCGACGATGTATTACTATCATTATTACCATTCGTCTCTTCCCCCTGCTCCACCCCACCCCCGCAGCAGCCTTGCCCTCACCCAACAGGGCCGCCGGCGGGCAAGGCGGGGCGGGGCGGGGCGGGGGCGGGGGCGGGGGCGGGGCCCACGCCTCGCCGTGACCCGCACGCCGCCCGGCTCCTGCCGGTAGCCCCCCCCCCACCTCGCCCCACCCCCTCGCCCCACCCCCCTCGCCCGCCATGGCCGCTGTGCTGAGCCACACTTGCGAGACGGCCGGCTGCGCCAACGCCGCCAAGCTGCAGTGCCCGACCTGCATCAAGCTCGGCGTGCAGGGATCTTTCTTCTGCTCGCAGGTTTGTTGTTGTTGTTATTGTTTGTGGGTGCTGGTCGGTCGTGGTGGTGGTTGTTGTGGTGGTGGTGGTGGTTGTTGTTTGGCGGGATCCCATTGAGGCGCGAGGCCTGGGCTTACACGCCGCAGCCTTGGCGATCGTCGGTGGAAGGTGACGGCGTTCATGCGCGTAACTGGCAGCCCCGGCCATACGACCGTGGAGTTGTACGTTACCTTTCTTACCGTTGACCGTGAACCGGCACGAGAGATCTGTATGTTAATCGCGTGCCGGAATGTTTATTCAGGTGGCTTGGTAATCGCAGCGCAGTGCTCTTAACCACTGCACCCACCGCTCCACGAGTGACACATTAACTGCGCTGTATAACATACCTGGGTCCTGTCACAGTAATGTGGAGTTTCATACAAAGGCTTCAGGGCTGCATTGCACTTTTTTTGTGGTCAGGGAGACGCGTTTCGCCTTGTTGTGGTACGAGGGCCTTGAGTCGTTTCGAGGCCAAGTGCTGCCACATTCATACCCGGAATCCCGTCACTCAAGAGACCATTGACCACTGTATGTTGAACTTCTTTGGCACCGTACGTAGCCAGCCGTGATATAATCAGAGGTGCGGGGCAAGGACAACAAACTGAAGACAAAATTCAGTTGTGAAGAAATTAATTTTCAATCGAGATGAGTTAAAAGTGCATAGCTCCCAGCGGGCAACCTAATATCGGAGGGAAGAGCGTTCCAGACGGCCGCAGAAACGCATCAGAAAGCGCGCGATGCGGTGACCACCGCCGTCTTTTTGTTCGACGGCTGAGCCCAAAAAAAAACAGTAATATCCGCTGCTGTGGAGGATGAACGGAGTTCGTATGATGCTTTATGCACCTTGATGAGATCAGCAAGGTACACCTGGAGTAGCTGCTAAATCTGTGTCCTTGTCCCAGTCGTTTTGGCAATGTTTTGTCGATAGGGAAACCGGAAAAGTGGATACATCGAATGACAGAAATTGATAATTTTGCAACACAATTCTCAATTCGGAAGGGTTTGAGTTCAATTCCCGCATGGGGGTTGAGGGCAACAGATTATTATCATTAGCACTCCAGGGTCAACAAAATTGAGGACTACTTTGTACATAATTACGTTGTCTTGTGGAATAACTACCTCCCATCATACGAATGTGGAATTTCCAACACCGGCTCAGGATTTGGGCAGGGCATGACAACCATACAATTCTATTGCGATGGGTGGAGCGGTGGCGTAGTGCTTGGCACGGCGTGTTAAAGAACATGGTGACCTGAGTTTAATTGTCGGGAACGGTTGGCGTCGCTGGCAAGTGATATCTCAATTGGTCCTGGGGTTCCCTGTGTTAACTAACCAACCTGCCCTGGCCAAATGTGGTGAAGTATGTTCACACAAACCCCCACTACCGACGTGGAATTGAGGAGGCCTTTATCAAGAAGTGGATTGACTATGCATGCTGAACTTCTTACCCACCGTACGTAACCGACCGTGCTAATCGGAGGTGCGGACAAAGGGCTGTCAATTATTATTTTGCGTTCAATAGAAAATTTGACTTGTAAAGATGGATTATCAATAAAGTCTATCATACAAGGAAAGATAAACTCACTGCTTTCCAATGGGTCGATGAATTTTCATTTAAAAAATAATAATATTAGTATGACAGCAGTCACCATTACTCTTCCTGTGGAATTGCTGGACCCCGTCATGGAAATGTGGAATGTCCACCATTGGCTCACGGCCGCCGACAAACATAATCACTGACCCAATGTTCGTTTGAGTATGGACGCTTATGCAAACTAATACGTGAGCTCGTTAAGCCGCGGTTACATTTTTTTGACACTGTAACGCACACTGTGGGAACGCCCCCTCGCCTAACATTGGATTGCCGCAAAGGGGGCTGGCATGTGTACGTGAAGGGTTTTCTTTGCTGGGTGCCTGTCGTGTGTGGGCAGGAGTGCTTCAAAGGCAGCTGGGACGCCCACAAGAAACTGCACAAGAAAGCGAGTGAGTGAGGCAGCTTTCCTTCCTATGGGCAAATCTCCCCAAAATGCGCCTGATCTCCGCAGATCTCGGAAGCTGAGCGGCGTTGAGCCTGGATGGTACTTGGACGGGTGACCACCAATGCATGCCATATTGTCGTAACTTCACCTGCGCGGCTGTGTTGTTTTTGTGGACAGCCAAGGGCATTGCAACAAAATTTGGAAAAATAAGTCAAATTTCCTTGGACCGTATCACCTCGGATGTGCCCAATATCATTGGATCTCGGAGATTAAGCAGGTTTAAGCCTGGTTAGTACTTGGATGGGAGACTTAACTAGGAACACCAGGCTTGGTCTGTTAAGAGGGCCGGATATGTGAACTTTGAGTGTCGCCCCCTTGTATGTGTAATGTAGCTCTCAGAGATACCGTATTGTTCAGTTATATGTATATTTATTGTGAATAGAGTCCACCGACTCACTGATAATTTAACAAGTAACTGCAAGTTGACTATTTATAGCTGGGTAACTTCTGTGACTCTACGCGATGCTCCACATGAAGTTGGCTGGCTACACAGGAGCGGACGCGTAGTAGTCACGGAGACAATATGTTGTAGCTCTAGCCATCCAAGACCACAAGGTGCCCGATCCAAGATGATGAAGACGACCTGCTCCAAGACGACGACAGTTTCTTGATTCCCCCACAACAGCCCAGAGCCCTGTTCCACGCCGGCTTTTATCCACTCCTCGACACGGCTACGCCCCTTTTCCCCAAACACTCTCTCACCTCTTCTGGGCCTGTCTGTCCCTGTCTCAATGATTATTTACCACTTAGGTCCCGTGCTATCCTTATGCGACCCTGTCAGTGCCCGTCGCGTCAATTAGTAGCCACGGCCACGAGAAGCCGTACTGTCCTTACATATGCATGGTTGGATTTCTCTTGTTTCTCAAATTTCCTTCCACACGAAGCCGAACACACATTTAAGGAGTTGTCTTCACCAATTTAGCAGCACCCTCCTGAAAGAGTCAGAAGACTCGCCAAAGCTTTCCTGGATAAGTGAAGGGCAGTCATTAGCATCACCATCTCCAAATTAATAAAAGACCGATGACGAAATGTATCCGAACCGGCCCTGGGCACCCCTTCAACCTATGTGGACCAATGTGGTGAAGTATGGTCAAGCATCCTCCATCACTCTTCATCTTGCAGTGTATTTGCTGGTGGGCTGTAAATTACAATAGTTTGTATAATCGTTATTGTTATAGTTACTGGTTATAATTATGGATTGACAAATAGACTGCATATACACGATTAATTGTTAGATTGCTTACATTTGAATGGATGCTTGCCCAAATACATTGCTTTTGCAAACATGTATTCCTTTTTCCTATTGGCTCGTAGTAGTCATTTAGTTGGGGCTAGAGCACCACGCGCCGTTGGTATGTGCCCATGCCTGCGAGATAACGCGTCATCATGAAATGTGGTGTACGTTATTGAGCAATGCAGAGCTGTGGTGTCGAGAGTGTGTTGTTGAAAGCCGAGCTCCTGCAACTTGAGCATATGGCACTGCCGACTAAGCATTTAGAGAAGCAGTGTTGCTCACCCAGCATTTTTGTCTTGTGTGATGGAGTGGGGGAAAGGAACTGTGGGTGCAGTGGTTCGCACACTGCACTGTGCACCCGATGATCCGAGTTCAATTCTCGGCCGCGGCTAACATCGGTGTCGAGTGATATCAGGACAGGTTTTGGGCCTCCCGTATGTCAACTCGGCCTTAAGCAAGTACTGTACCTGGTGCAGTGTGTATACATCAGCTGTGGGGAGACAAAGGTGGTCACACCACCCCCCTTTTGGATGGACCACATCCCCCCCGCTTGTGAGCTGTGCAGACCTAAATAGATGCTCGCTAAGAGCACTTGTCTCAGCAGTCTATCAAAGGATGTTACGGGGGATCTTTGTGTTTTGGGTGGTGTGGCGGTTCAGTGATTCTCGAACTGCACTGGAAAACTACGACGACTGGGGTTCAATCCTCTGCCGTGGATCACATCAGTGGCAGGTGGTATCTGAACCTGTCCTGAGCCTCCATGAGGTTGACTCAGCCTTAAATGATTAACTGGAACTGTATCTAAGCAGCAGAATGAGAGAGGAAAAGGCAGCGGGGCTGGGCTTGGTGCTGGCCACACAACCGCTTTGTTGTTTTATGCCCGATTACAGCACAGAACAACAAAGGTAGTTTTTGTCTTCGGTGAGCAGATGTGCACACACGCATACAAAAAACCCACGAGTGTGTTGGTACCTGAGTATAAATTATGCATGGCCTTCACAGGTCCCTCTCGCAAAAAGAGATAATGAATCTCGCAGTATAGGTTTGTGTCATTGTTGAGAAAAGGTCACTTAACTCGGTGTGTGTTATGAATGTTTAAGTGCGGCGTATCCATCTTTGCATAGGACCAATCCACGTTACGCGTATAAAAACAATAAATGAAAAATAACCGTGCAGCCCTTTGTAAAATGTACTACTAGATTAAAGCCTCCGCATGCCGTATCGGTAATGGGGGTTGTTTACAATGCTTCATTACACTGACCAGGGCAGGATGGTGAAGGTGGAGGTGGAGGGCGTAAGCGGCATGACAGGTCCAGATATCTCTAGTCACTGATGTTAGCTGTGGCCGGGAATCAAACACAGGTCACCGAGTTCGTAAGGCACCATCGCTCCACCGTGTAGCAAAATTATTGCCCCCTAATAACCCATTAAAGCCTCATTCGGTCAACCGAGTCGTTTTCAGGAGGGTCCTGTCATAGGATGTTTGGCCAATATCATGAATGAGTGTATGGCTTCCGGTGGGAGGAAGCCAGAGTACCCAGAGAAAACCCACCACGCATACCCAAAGGTCCAAATAGTCTGGTTTCACGAACCCACTTGCGATACTGCATCCCCCCTAACCACCTCGTAGCCAAGTGGGCCTGGGAGTTTCACAAAACTCTTAAGTGATCCACCAATCCATTCACAGGTGTGTGCCACTACGCGCATATATGCAACGTACAGTTTTATCCAGTAAAATGCAATGTAACTAAAATAGAAAGCTCATTTATATAAATTAAAGAATAATCTATCTTTGGTTGCCGTGGCCAGCCTTAATAGGCACTCGCTGACTGCGCATTCTCCAGCAGTCTACAGCATGTCTTCAAAATACCAGGATAATTTATGGGTGGGGTGTATTTATATATTTTTTTATTCCATCTAAGGTTTGTACTTTTTACATTTGAAAGCTCAGCATTTCACATTGTATTGAAATTCGAGTAATCCTCTACTTATGATGGAGATGCGTTACGACGACCCCAACGTTAATACAAAACAGCTACTTCAATTGTCAAGGTGCTCTGCTCCTCCCACCCAGCTTAAAATACGCTGCCAAGCTTAGCAGTGTTCATTGTCGGAAAGACAGTGCTCCAGTTCTGTTTCTTCACCTGAGGACGGCTACTTGTGTTGTGGCCGAAACGTCGTGAGAATTTAATTGGTTAATTTTTATTATTTTATTATTTCCCTTCTACGTGACTTTTCCGAAAGAACCAAGAAGAAGAGTGAAATCGTCGATTGAGCACAAGAAGAAGGAGGAACGGAGAGAGATAGCAAAGATTGAGAACGTAGAGTAAAATACATTATTAGCCTGCACACGGGAGTACGATTTTTGATTTGATTGCAATATATTTTTTTCCTCAGTTCCACCCCGCAAAAAAAAAGCCCTTTATAAGCAGGACACAGTATTTTCAAGGACACAATTGCATGTGGCTAATGTGAGATGTTTGTGTCTGTGCTTATCCGTGCATGTGTGTGCAGAGGAAGAGAAGGCACAGAACAATGTGGCAAATATTCCCGGAGCGCCGATCACGGATCCGTGGCCCTGGTATCGCTACACGGGCACGCTGCGACCCTATTATCCCCTGGTACATTGCGCATGCAGTACAACACAACGATTTAAGAAAAGATGAGACGTTACACACGAGACGGGAGAGATGGGGCTAATAGTACGAACGAGATTGATAGAAATACAACGAAAAAGAGGATTTGATTCTTAATTTGAACCGTCGATCCGCAGTCATGGTAATTATTCTACTCACTGGGTGGGGTGACTCGTTGCAAGCCCCCTGCTACACGTGCTGGTGAAGGGCGCAACCGAAGGGCAGAACCGATGTGTTCAACCGAAATCACTTTTTTTAGAAGGTGACTGCCCTTACCGCTCAATGCCTTCATTTCCTTGTCTGCCGCTCCCCACAGAGCCCCAAGAAAGATGTGCCGGAGGATATTTCAAGGCCAGACTACGCGAATCACACGCAAGGTACGGTGTTGTTTGATGGAACTGTAACAAAATTAACGGCCAAAAAAGCATACAGTCTGGCTTTTAGTGGTAAAATTGCGAGTCGTAAAATTGTATTTTAACCATGAAAATAATCATGCCAATTAATAAAGGTATCGGTAAAAATATAAATGTGCAGCCCATCGATTGTTCGCCAACGCCACTGCTGGCGGATGAGCCTCCTCTATGCTCTCAGAAGCTCCTCTCGAGAGTATTTTGGCCCCCACTCTTCCACACTGGCCAGACAGCTTGGAAGAGGTGGGTATTCCCCACGCCTTACACCACCCATATATACTGCTGGGTGGACGGAGGCTGCGGGGTGGGGGGTGTTTCTGTAGTGGGTTGTATGGAGACGGAGTCTTCTTAGGAGGCAACACGTATTTATTTAACAATAACACACGGGGTCCCTAACACGAAGGGGTAATGGCCCCTTCTACCCGATGACCTGAAGAGGTATAGCCTCCGGGCTAACTTGCCCTAGTCACTGGGACCACCTAATCTTAGCCCTCCGGCTAACATTACCTAGGGGAGGCTGACCCGACCGAGCCAAGGTCCTCGGGTCTCGACCACTGGCCCACTCAGACCCGACCCTGATAAGGACGTTGGGTCCGGAGATCCTCAGGGTCCTAGTCCCCTGACCACTTGCCTCACTCGGCTCCGGCCCTTAGAAGGACAGCGGAGCTTGGGGTCCAGGGTCCTATCTTCAGGCGAGCTCTTCGGTCTTCGGCTTGACGCTGACTGCCGGAGCCGCTCTGGGGTCCGGCTTTTATGGGGCTCCCAGGATCACTCCGCCCCTGGTCACGCCCACTCTCTGGAACCTTCTAGAGGGACCTAGATTGTTGCGCAATTCCCCAGCCCCCACTGGAGGCCAGGGTTGTCTACCTCCGGTTCATAACCACCCCCCAGATTGCCTGTCCCACGAGTCCTACTTGGTACAGACCGGACCCGCTATTGCCCCCTGTTGGGCCCTGACTGGAGGTACATATTTTTCCGTAGTGGTGGCGGCGTTTAACCCCTGACAATTACCCACCACATTTCTGTAACGTTCCCATTGTTTCAACTTTACGCTAACCCATTATACCAAGGCAGCATCCCCAAGGAATTGTTTTGTGTGATGGCCGAGTCGCCGTTGAATGGGCTTTTTACTTGGGGGCTCAACTTTTGAACGTCTCAATTCGTAAGAGTCGTTCGAGGATGGGCATGTGTTTTGTGTTGGCTGCAGGAATCTCCCTGGTGGAGAAGGAGATGAGAGGAAGCACGCAGATCAAGGTGCTCTCTCCCGACGAGATCGAGGGCATGCGCATCGCCTGCAAGGTGCGGCGACCGACGCCTCGCGGTCGTTAAAATGTCACGATTGTAGACCCAGCGCGGTTCGCTGTGTGCGTTGTAGGCTGCAGTAGTAGCCACAGCTGGCGTGTCACGTGTTGTCTCGATTTTAGCCACGCCTTAGTCTGTGGGGTCCAGGGGCAGGTGTTTTAAGTTGTCGGAATCGAAGAGAAATGTTGAACGCTTAAAAGAAAAAGCTATAACAAGGTGGCGTTTTTGGCAATGGTTCTTCAACGCTTCACCATATAATTGATTTAATATTGGATAATGGTTAAAATATTGACTGCTGGGTTGGTGATCCGAAACAAGGTCGTGCACACGCAGTTGACGATGCCGCGTGGAGGAAAAAGCTGTTATACAGGCAGTGTGGGAATGTCACGTGATGTACAAGGCACGACGGGAGGACCGATCACGTCGCAATCGTACACGAGTTTTTATTACACGTGCAGCCGTCTGGGTTGTCGTGCTTTATTTGTGAATTCTACACGGCAGCTTTTACACGTGCATGCAAAAAGGCGCGTCAAACAAACGGACGCGTTACCTTTTCGCCTCGTACGGTGGCAGCCTCGTGTGCCGTGTCCACCCGACTGAACCGTGGCATGTGAATTTCGCGTGGCTCCCTGCAGTTGGGCAGGGAGGTGCTGGACATTGCGGCGAAGATGGTGAAGCCGGGCGTCACCACGGACGAGATTGATGAAGCGGTGCACGCGGTAATGTACCGGCCGAACACGCGGAAACCCTTGCACGTGAAGTTTGAGTGTGTCCCCGTTGAATATGCGTCAAGATTATCCGTTCGAGGTGGTCTGGCGGCTCGGAGGTCAGAGCGTTGAGCTGGCACTCCTGGGAACCTGGGTTCAAATCCAGGCAGCTGCCAGGGATTATTTACTTATTATTTTGCCGCTATACATTTCCACAAGAGCTATCATTTGTCGCCAGGTAATTTCTGAAAAGTAAGTTAATACCTCAGTGGGCTTTACCTGGTAAGTAAAAAATTGTTTAGTTTTATTCGTATATATTTTTAATGATTTGTTTACCTTTCCTATACTTTGCACTTTTGTGTTTTTGTACTGTTTGTTGTAACGTTCTGACCCGTCCCTACTGGACATCTGTAAAAAAGAGCTTTATAGCTCATCGGATTCCTCAAGTGTAATCATATTCTGATTCTGAAAACCAGGTTCTCAAGTGTAGCAAGTTTATGGGTTTCGATCCAGTCATGAGTGACTCGCACAGAGACACATAGACTTACATAGAGATACGTAGACTTGCATCGGGAGAGACCCATAGACTTACATAGAGAGAGACATAGACTTGCATAGAGACACATAGACTTATACCGACTATAATCACCCAGGAATGTCTGTCCTTAACGCTCGTGACGTCACTCCACGTCGACCAGCTCCCCTCATTAATAATCATGAACAGGTTACGTCCTCCACATGGAACCCTCCCCCCTCATTAATAATCATGAGCAGGTGACGTCACTCCACATGGAACACCCCCCCCTCATTAATAATCATAAAGTGACGTCCTCCAAATGGATACCCCCCCCCCCTTCATAATAATTAGCGGCTGACGTCACTCCACATGGGGGGCCAAGGCGCCTCCTCCCCCCTCCTCGGCGTCAACTCACAACCCTCACGACAAAGGCAGAACCCTCACGTCACGCGATCTCCGTCACGCTGTTGAGACATCAAAGTAAAAATGACGTCATGATGAACAAGGGATTATAACCTTAAAATTAAATAGGTCTGTGTCACCGCGCCCTTACAAATTGCACACGCATACGTGAAATAAATATGTCACGGTCTGCTTTCCGCTAGTATAGGGAGAGGAGCCCTTGGACGGGCAAAAGGCTAGTATAGGGAGAGACACATAGACGTACATAGAGACACATAGATTCGCATAGATCGAGTCGAGATTAAAGTGGGTTTGCAGGTGCAGCGAGTTGATGGCGTCAGTCCGGTCACCAATGACTGCGCAAAAGAAAACTCGTGTCAAATTTGGCTCTCCACTTAATTTGGCTAAACTCCGCGGATTTAAATAATGATCAGTTTTGACTGTCATGCTCCAAGTTTTACGTTCTGTAGCGGGACATGGGGCGGGGGGGTGGGAAGTGCATTGCCCCTGTTGTGTGGAAAAGAGGCCGGCGAAAAATGTACGCGACCACAGGGAGAACATACAAACTCCAGGGTCGGGATCGAACCCACGTCCTCCTGTATACCAGGCGGGGTGGTTAACATCTCGCCACCGCAACGCAATAAATTGGGGATTAAAAATACAAAACGTCGTCTTCGATTACGACCGTCGCTGTTGCCCGTTGTTGTTGTTGTCATGGTGGTGTTATTGCTATTGACGGTGGTGGCTGCTTGTCCGTCGTTTCGCACCACGGGCCAGGCCTGCATGGAGCGCCGCTGCTACCCGTCGCCGCTCAACTACTACAACTTCCCCAAGTCGTGCTGCACCTCCGTGAACGAGGTCATCTGCCACGGCATCCCCGACCATCGTCCGCTGGTGGAGGGCGACATCCTCAACGGTGAGACGGGGCGTTCCGCGCGTCACGGTCATGATCTGTGCCGGCAAATCGGCCGGGGGGGGGGGGGCCAAACGTTTCCCCCAAAAACCTCGAGCTTCGTTTAGGAATAACCCCCTGAGGAATAATGCTGAATGTATGCGTGCGTGCGCTTCGCAATGCCACGATACATACGAACGTGTAAAGCTGCAGCAAAAGTGGCTCGGAGGTCAGGGCGCTGAGCTGGCACCGCTCGTTGTTTATTTTTCAAGAACCAAGAATACAGAGTAGATTTCGAAGAGGGGGAAAAAAACGGCAAATAACGTGAACCAAACCCGGAGCGATACACCCCCAGGATTAGGGACCAACCGGGGGGCGTCTGGGCTCACCGCCCTACCATGTTCGGGGTAACGATCGGCAGCAGTATATTTATGGGGGAGGGGAAGACGATGGAAGGGGGAGCGTGGTGGGGGGGGAGCAATAATGTAACCAAACAGAACCGGAAATAAAATAACACAAACGCAATGCCCAAGTTTGTCATTCTTGTTTTCTCCCAGGAGATGCGATTGCCGTGCGTTAACAGAGGTGGTGTAGTATGCAGAGTCCATCCGTTCTCCTCGGGCCCCATTTTTCCGTCTGTGCCCCGCTTATCTTAAAAATAGATCAACTTTATCCATACATGACAAGAGAGCACTGCTCTGCAACATTTTCAAATTTTTTACTTTAATTTTTTTTTATTTAACATTTTTTTGAGTCCCACTTTAAAGCACCCCCCCCCCCCTCAATATTCTGGATACGGTGCATTCACCCACGTTGGTTTAAGGACACACTGTATATGGCAAATGTCTTCCTATTATTTGACTTCATCCGTGGATAGAGAGGGGTAACCTGTTAAATGATCACCCAGAAGTGATGGGATAATTGCAGCAAACCCATTCTGTTGCCGTTTTTTCGCGGATGGCTGCACGGATATCGCGAGTTATTTTGGTAGCAGGATCTGCCAGTCGCGCACTGTCCCATATCAATGCAGTTGTGGGGGGTACGGTCAACTCTCGATCGTCTGGGGGTCACGGGTGCGGGGCGAGGGTGCTCTGGCTCGGATAAAATAAACACAGCTCACGCAAAACATTTGTGAATCAATCTACAAAAAAACACACGTATTACATTCCTACGTAGCATGGAGGTGAAGACATAGAACGCAGTTTTTTGTTTTGTTTATTAAAGCAATCGGTTTTCCTTGCTGGCGTGTATGGGTCACGCAGGCTCTAAGTCACCGACCCGAGACAACTTGAGGAGCCAGCTAATAATTAAATGAGCGCGCACTCGTAAAGTAATTTATTTTTTGTCACAAGCGCGGCGACCCTGAAAGCCCATCTAATTCGCCCACGGGTAACCGACGGGTCAACCGCGGTTTTCGCAACGTGCACCTCCTTTGTTAACGTGGCCGTTTTTGTGTTCCGTTCGCCTGCCGCGCGTTCCTCGCTGCAGTCGACATCACGGTGTACCACAACGGCTTCCACGGGGACCTCAACGAGACGTTCTTCGTGGGGAACGTGGACGCGGCATCCCGCAAGCTCGTGCAGGTCTCCTTCGAGTGCCTCATGCAGGCCATCGACGAAGGTCAGCGCGCCGCTGTCATGCACGGACCTCTCAGTACACGACGGAGCTGCTCATTAGCTCGCAGCGATGGCTTGTGATGACACGTTGAATCGTATAGTGGTGGCTCGTTAACTCATTGCGATGACAAGTTGAACCGTACAGCTTAAGTTCGATTCCCAGTCATGGCTAGCATCAGTGTAAAGTGACGTCTGAATCTCACGTACGCCATATACAGTGCCATATACAGTGTACGTCAAACCTAGCCTAGAATGAGTAACCTCGTGCTGTGTCTGAACATTAGCACCAGGGAGATTAAGATGGCCCAGCCATAATGCCAGGTCACTCTTGCAAATGAGACTATTCTGGTCTTTCGAAATATCTCCCAATGAACCAAATAAACTTAAGTGCTACGCGTGACAACTTATTAATGCCAGCATGGCACGTAAACAGGTGGTGTGAACGGCACCATCTCCACCCAGTGCCGATGCTTATAAACTGCACAAAGTAATCACTTTGGGCTGAGTTGGCCTTAGTTGAGACCCAGGACATGCCGAAGCAGCTGTGGTGTGTTGCTGGCCACACCACCCTCTCTTGTGCGCCATGTTGGCCTTAATAGGGTGTGGGGACAAGTGCAAGTTAGCGAGCACCTTTCAGGTTACACGGTGGATCTGCGACTGTGTGTGTATTCCGTACGTGTATTACGTGTTCACAGTTAAGCCGGGCACGCGCTACCGTGACATCGGCAACGTGATTCAGAGACACGCGCAAGTGCACGGCTTCTCGGTGGTGCGGAGTTACTGCGGCCACGGCATCCACCGCCTCTTCCACACCGCGCCCAACGTGCCCCACTACTCAAGTACGGCTCGCACGATCGCCACCTGCTAGCCACACTAGCCAACACGCTAATCGTCCCCAGGCCCGCCGAGCTATACTATAAACACCAGCGTAGATGGGTGGACAATATCTCCTTCATGTGTCTCGTCTCTCCACGTTAAATTTGTTTTTACAAAATCAGTCGGCCTACGACCTTGTGGGAGTGCATAATTTCAGCAGCCATTGAGTCAGTGTCTAAATCAGCAAAGGCCATGCTTGCTTGAGTCAGTGCTGTTGAACTGCCAGGACCCTCTCTTTAAGATATGGGTCTTAGACGTGTACATTATATAATACACGGACCGATGGGTTCTGCGTGTAAAAAAATATTTCTTGTGTGGACAGATATATGAAGGAGACGTAGCGTTTTTATTGTGTGACTAACATTCTACAGAATGACACTCGTGATTATTTTGTACATTACACACTGCACATTCTGCTGCCTGGAGATCACATTTTGCATGTATTATTATGACTATCACTTGTTCCTCATCTGTACTCACTTCTAAAACTGTCTGATAAGCTTCCCATCATTTTCCATCAAGTATTAAAATTGGTATCCCGAATCTCTTACTTTTTTACAACTCTTAATTCCTACCAGGATACAATTCCTATGACCGGGGGGGGGAGGTGACGTGTCTCGTACAAGTGTGTTCCTGTGTCGTCCTCCAGAGAACAAGGCAGTGGGAGTGATGAAGCCTGGACACGTGTTTACCATCGAGCCCATGATCTCAGAAGGTGAGGCCCGTTTTCTGGCACAATCCGCAAACTACAATTGGTTATTTTACCAGGTAAGGCCCGTCGAGCTATATAGCTCCAATTTCAGAAGCGATCTGGCTACAAATGATGGCTCAACAAAGTGGCTTGTCACGTGTGCCGAAGAAGTCTAAATGCATGTTTCCGAAATGTGGAGGGAAAAACCTGGGCCATTATTGACCCGTGCTCGTGATGTAAAGTAAAAAAAAACGGGTTGCGTTTTCACGAGCAGGTCGTTCGCGCGCGATCAGTTGCGTTTTCCCCGCCGCAGGAACCTGGCAAGACGAGACATGGCCCGACGAGTGGACGGCCGTCACCAAGGACGGGAAACGCTCCTCGCAGTTCGAGCACACGCTCCTCGTCACGGAGACGGGCTGCGAGATCCTGACGCTGCGGGCGGAAGACTCGGGGCAACCTCACTTCCTGTTTCAGGACTGACCTTCACTTAATGGCACGTGGGGCCCCCCCTCCGTGCGATTGACGCTCGGAACCTCGCTCGGTTTACGCCCGCGGTTAGACATTCGTCCGATTTCAATTTTTGCAAGCGACGCGGTGAACACCGTCGCGTGAAAATTTCAGCAAAAATGTAAAACTTAAAAAAACGAGATTTAAATGAAGGAGGGCGGAAAAAGGAACTCGGAATTTTTTTCTTGTTTGTTGTTGCTCTGCCTGACGTGCGTTGTCGAATTGCCATAGAAAAACGTTTTCTTTTTCCCGTTTGCCAAGCTGTGTAGGAAGATTTGTTTTTTCTACGCGGTTGTATCTCGCTTTTGTGCAAAGCGCCGTTGTGAGCCATCAACTTCGCCATTTGTTCGACACTGAAAAACGTTGGCATTTGTAAAAAAAAAATGACGACCTTGATGGCAGTTATCAGACCGCGTTCTCCTTGCCCGCTGTGCCAGTTATTATACGTGAGAAAAATAAAGCCGAGTTTTTACGACGTGCATTGTATAGAAGGAGGGACGCGCAAAAGCGTAGCAAACAACGGGTCTGTTTATTGAAATGATGCAACTGGACGATTCCACCGAGGTCATGTCAGAAACAAGTAGCTGGATTTTCATCTCATTAAATTGTTCGATTTTTCTTACTTTCACCTTCCCAGCGACTGTCTACGTACATTTTAATGTTTTCTTTTTAATTTGCAAAATGGTAATCTACTTGTTTTTGACGTAACAACTGTGCGGAACTGCCCGACTCGCATAGCGTATAATCGCCAAGCTTTCAGTATTTGTATCTGAAAATAGAGTACAATAAGAGCAGGCTGATTGTATTTATTTTCTACGATTTCACCGCTGTGCTGTTAATAGTTGCCAAGTGCTCTTCATTCTCTGCCGAAGCCCAGGGGACGCACGCCGATGGCCAACGGTGCTGCGGGGCCTAAAGCTTCAGCACGGTGCGGATGCTGTGGAGGTGGAGAAAATGAAAAGTGTTAGGCGGCCACCGTTGACGTTAACATGTCGTGGCTGGCGCGGGGATCGCAGGAACCCCGTCAAAATCGTGGCTGCATCCGTCGGCGTCATAGAACATCGGGTCGTACTGGGGGTGCAGCACAGTTGATTTAAGAGAGTTTTTACCTCCCCCCCCCCCCCCCACCGACAACGAACAGATTTTGGTTGCTTGTAATTACACTCCCAGGGCTGTGTGTTGCAGGGGGTACCGGGTATGCGGTTTCAAGCTTCATTAATGTCAGAAAAAAAGGTGAACCTCACGATTCTTTTACCCAGGAGAGCCTCGCCGAATTTGAAAAAACTGTATTCGGGGAGGGTCTTGCATTGGGATATTTTACTAGTTCCATTTTTCTTTTTGGCTTGTAGTAGGAAACCGGTGTATCCAGGGAAAACCCACACACAGGAAGGAGGTAATAATTCAAAGTTCTGCATTTTGGACCTTTGGGCGTGTTCTCCGCAAACCAACAAAACAAATTTATAAAATAAAACAAGGATTGATTCCACCTGCAGTGCTGCCATCTTTTAGCCACCTCAGCCCAAAGCCTACAACATGTGGTATTCTGGCCAGTCTCCGAACACCTAGCCAGGCTTGATACTTTTTGGCCTCCGAGAAAGGTGCATCCAGGCTGATTTTGTTATAGCAGTGAAAATTCTCAAGCGACGGGTCAGGAGCCGTGCAATGGAGCGTTTTGGTGCCATCGCCGCAGTGCCACTGCACATACCTTTTAAAACATCAGCATAGTAGTAGCGTGCTATCGAAAGTCACTCGACAGTCCTCACGCCTGCCAACTCTGGTTGAAAGCATTAACGCGCGAGCGCTGTGCGTCTGTCCATCTGCCTTTAAGATGAGGTCACGATAGCTCTCGTAACAAACAAAAAAATCGCCACGTCCTGAAGCGTGGCGATTAAAACCACAGCCGATCGTGGGTGAGCCTTTTCGGGCCAAGGCGATGATGTAGCGCGCCGCCCTACCACCCCCCGTTGGCGTCATCTCATTACACCGTCCGTAATGTCAAGCTATCGCCAAATAAATACGAGGGCGAACGCACTTTGGAAATGCGACGCAACAATCCGTGCGTATTAGGAGGGGGTTTTTGTTCCTTATCGAAGCTTGAAACGTCGATGGGACGGCCATGGACGCAACCTAAGCGTGCAAGCTGCAAGACTGCTTGCATGCAGATATTAGCCAAAACAGCGACGCAGAGTAATGCTCGCTCAGAGTGAGCTCTCAATCGGTTTTGTATTATCAGCCTGATAATATTTGTGGAGTTTGCGGCGGTACAGTATTTGTTTCTCTGTTCTAGAGAGAGAATACTTGACGTTGTTTCGGCTCTGAAAACCCCACCTGGTACTAAAATAACTCAAATTTAACCCGAAGCGGTTGGGCTGCACCGCTCCGACATTAATACGAACCGCTACTTCCGTTCATGTCAGATCTTGGAAGCTAAGCAGGCTTGAGCCTGGATAGTTCTTGGATTGGTGCCCATCATTACCAATCAGTTGCCAGCGAAACTTGCCACTTTTGCCAACCTGCACTGGCCCAATGTGGTGAAGTATGGTCGGCAGGGCGTGGGTTGTTTCCTTTGTCCAGCAGTGGATTGGCAAAAAAGGGGCTGTGCATGTACAAAGTACATCCTACATCTCCTAGGGCAACTAAAGAATCTGTACTCAAGCGGGTGCAATCTTCTGTAGAGTGTAAATGTGCTGAAGAGATTAAAAAATATATATCAGTCCAGAACAAGGGGCGATTTCTGACTAAAACAATACAATTCGCACCTATTTGCCTCTGAACAATAGGCCATGAATGTGTCCGATCCCATCAAATTTCAGAAGCTAAGCAGAGCCCAGCTTGGTTAGTACTTGGGACTGGTGACCACGAGGGCTTGCCAGGTGTTGTAGGCACAGGACTCCGAGGTGTTGCCAGGAGATGACAGTGCAGAGTGTCCCCCCCCCCCCCCCCCCCCCCCCAAATCTTCGGCCATGATTAATCCACCACTGCACGGAGGCATCTCCAAGTCACCATCCCACATGATTCCGCGACGGGCCAAGCCGCCACGGTGGTGAGATGTTAACTACCTCGTCTGGTATACAGGAAGTCGTGAGTTCGATTAAGACCCTGATGCCTGTGTATTTGTAGTTTGCATGTCTCTCACCGTGATGGTGTGGATTTTTCTCCGGGTTCCGCAGTTTCTGCAGTTTTTTCTCTCCGCATTTAGAATCTACGTGCGTTTAGAGTATTCGGCTGCTCTAAATTTTCCACGTGATAATAAGGCACTCAGTTGAGCTTTCATTTGTGACCAGTTCGCTTCTGAAAATGAGCTACATAGCTCAGTGGGCCTTGCCTGGTAAAATATAAATAGTTTTTAGTTTAGTGCTATGTGTAAATGTGGAATGCTGTACAGATAGAGGGATGTGCACATTGCTGTAACTTGACTGGGGGGGTGGGGGGGGGGGAGTAGGTGCCACATCACCCCGTGTTTTGAGCACGACCCGTGAAATGTTGGACATCACCGAATTACAGGGGTGTCACGATTCACCGACCCTCCCTTTCCCCCATGATTTGAATTGTCGCGATTCAGGGTCAGGATTCGATTCATTAATCGATTCTCTTAATATTGCGATTAAGGTGCCAGTGGCGGCAGCAGCAGCAGCACAGATCTTTTGGCAGCTGCAGGGTTCACGTGGAAACATTACAACATTCACGGGATTGAAAAATGCCAGTTCTTGCAAAACTGCTTTTTGTGTTTAGTTTGCTGGCCTTGCCCCGGCACCTACGATTAGCAAGGTTGGTTACGTACGGTGCGAAACAAGTTCTACATGCAGGCAGCGATTCAATGCACGCGTTGTTTAGCTTAATAGTTTCTTGTGGATTGATGCATTGTATGATTTATTGAAGAGTCATTCAAATTGCCTCTCTTTGCCTCCTGCTACCAGTGGAAGTTACTGTTGATGAATCGACGTTGAGTTATTTAAGCCGGCCCCTCTTGAAAGGGGGATAACCGAGGGAATGTTTAGCCGGGATCCACGCCAGAGCAATCAATTGCACAATCAAATCGCACGGCTTAAATCGCCTGCAACTCAGTGCTGAGCAGCTGCTCCGAGGCTTCGTGGTGTGCAGCATACAAACGCAGCAAAATCCTTTCTTGTACTGTACTTCTATACGCCACCCTCTCTCCACATCTGTACACCCCGCCATTACCAATCAGCGCTGATCAGCTTGCCTAAGTGTAATCAAATAACCTCCACGTGGCCCAACAGCGTATTGACAAAAGGGCTCTTACATGTGCATATATTTATCACTTTAAAATTCATAATCAGCCGACTTGCAATGCAGTACTCTATATGCGCTACAGGCCCCCCTTCCCACCTGCAGAACATCAAGGTTTTTTTTTTTCCTGCCACTGCAGTTGGACCGTATATTGGACCAGATTCAAATCTTTGAGGAGACGTGTGCCCGAGCGCTCGCGAATTCGCCACTTTACTAAAGGCAGCGGTGTGGGCCCATTGGCCCACGCACGTTAATACTGCGGGTGGATTAAACCTTGAAATGAATACCCACGGGGGTCTGCTTCACGGCGGACGTTTAAGATCCTGTTACGTTATTTGAAACAAGAGTAGGCCGATGTGTGCCAACGGCACAGTCAGAAATTTGGTGGACCGGGCGTCGTCTCGAGGTGGACTGCATGGGAGGAACGGTGTAAATATTAAGCTTTGACGATATCTCAAGGGAGTGGCTGAAACACGGCACGCACTGCGGATTTGAAGCGCCGTTGCTCGCGATGTGGATAACGGTCGCGTTTTGGCGAAAAATATTTTTCTTGTGAACATTGTAGCCACGTCTTGGTGAAATTTATATGAATATTATCTTAATTGTGGGCCACGGGCTATTGCACTGGCGCACAAAATACCTACTCTTGACGATTACCGTATTTGCCGGATTATAAGATGCTCTGGGGGAAGTAAGACGCGCCCAGAACGTGTGCCTGGTGGGAATGGCACCGGTCGTAAACACGTACTGGACCCAGCCTTAGCTCTTTCATTCCGTCCGTCTGACAAGCGGCGGGAATCGAACCGACAACTGCGCACTCGGCGGCGGCGGCCGTGCTTTTTTCACCACCCGGCCACCGCCGGTGGGTACCCTCCTCCCCCCGGGTGCCAGTTGAATCGGAACGTTGTCTCGCAGCAGTGTCTGCCTCTACGAGTGAAAAAGCAACCAAAACAACGCTCTTACCTACCTTGAGAGGTGCTATCGCTGTGCATTCTGAGGGGCCCCAAAATTCACGCGAAATTTTGGCGGAGAAGCGAACGTGAGCTGCTGAGCCTAATCAAAACAATCTCAACCCGAATAACGTGAAAAGATGATCTCATCTCGACCTTGTTCGTATCCGTCTTTGTTAACATCTGTCGCACTTTGCTACATATCATGCTTCCTCCAATATTACAACACCTGTCCCACGTCTATACATCGCTCTCTCGTCATATCGCTGGGAGTT